AAATTTTTCTCAACGGATTTAGACGATTCACAAAAATGATCAATTTAAGAAATAAAACGGCGGATTTCCGCGGATCCGCGGAAAATTGCCATGTATGCAAATGTCATGATATTCTACTGAAAAGCAATCGGTTTTTTTTTTTTTCAATAATAGCTTTTAGAAATAATTTGTTTTATAAAAAGATGCATTTTGCTGAATCCTACCTGGTGGGCCTGAAAGGTCTCTGCAGAGGTACAGGTTTGGCCACAGTCCAGAAAGGCGAAGGGCTTTGTCTCTGTGTGACTAAACTGATGTTTCCTCAAGTGGGCAATCTGAAAGAACTTCTTCCCGCACTCGGAACACCTGTAGCACCTCTCCCTCACTTCTGGGCACCAAGTGCGAGCTTCAACTGTCCCATTTTCTGCTCTAACAGCCACAGCATCAGAATGTGATGTTGCCATGGAAACCTTTGCTTCTGCAGAGGACTCTGCAACCTGTGTGAGACTCTCCTGCATGTCTGTTTGTCTGTCTGGGTGTGAGTGGACAGAGAGTTTTTTTACCCGGCTGGTCTGACAGTGAACCTGTCGTGGTTTAGCAGCCAGACGAGAGCTACAGCGGACAGGGCGAGCTGGGAGACTTAAAATTCTCTGCTTATCAGGAGAGTTCAACTTTGACAGAGTGTCAACTGCATCCATGACAAGGCCGGTGCTGATGTTGGGGCCATTTGATGTCAAAACAATATTGTCCACTTTCGCTGTAGTGTTAACTGCGGTGCTCCTTTCCTTCTGTTTGCCTCTGTTAGGACCAAAGGAGCGGTCATGAGGTTGCTTCTTTTGTCTTTCCTCTTTATCAGTCTTGTCATGTATTTTTCTTTCCTCAGTCGTCTGTGGGTCGGGCACAGCCACTTCTGGATCCCTTAATTGTTCCACTGGGTAATCTGAAAATACGGTTTGAAATTGTTATTTGGTTGGAAATTATGAGATAATTGAAAACCCATGGAGCAATTGCATCTGTCAATGAGTCCAAAAATGTGCCACAGATGCACTACACTAATTGCAAAGTGTAATTTGGTGGCTTGGAGATGAAGAACTGCCTCCAGGATGAGCAGTGGCTCATTTGCATTGGACCAGAGCGCCCTCTTAAAACAGGCTGAACCCAGCAAGGTAAAAAAAAAAAAACAAGACGAAAATAGAAAAAAAGAAGTTCTGATCCTGAAATTACGAGGATTGCGGGACTGCATGTTTTATGTTAGAGTGCCGAATAAAGCGGCAAATAAATGAAGACCATTTAGATTTTGACCTTTGGTGGATATGGTCTTCCAATTAGTTTTATTTTGTCATGAATCTACCTCCACAACAAAGCAAATTTCCCTCTAGCAGTAACTGTTCATTACTGTATATTTGTATCCCATCATTTTTTGAGAGATGCTTTTGATTATTCTTGATGTTTAAACAGGCATGTTATAAAAACAAGGAGTTCATAATATGAGCTTGGTTTTTGGTGAGAGATAATGCAGGAGATTTTAGTGCATCCTTTTGAACGTCTCATCACTCCCCACACAGAAAAGAACCCTCGAACCAGATATAATAAAGGATTAGTGGAATGGGGGATGGCACGGTGGGCGACTGGTTATCACGTCCGCCACACAATGCAGAGGAACAGGGTTCAATTACGGCTCTCGCCTTCCTGTGTGGGGTTTGGCCTGCGTGGATTTGCTCCGGGTACGTCGCTTTCCTCCCACATTCCAAAAATATGCACGGCAGGTTAATGGAAGACTCTAAATTGTGCCTCGGTGTGATTGTGAGCGCGAATGGTTGTTCGTCTGTGTGCACTCTAAAAACAGGTAGGTCAAAAATAACTAATTTTGGGTTAAATTTAACCCAATTACTGTGGTAAAAAAGGATCGACCCACACTTTGGTCAATTTGAGCCAGAAAATTGGGTTATACAGTTTTGACACAACTTTTAGGGGTAAATGAATACATGAAAATGAGTCAAAACAATTTTATTTACCGGTAATTTTTTTACCCAACTCTGATTTAAAAGAATAACCCAAATAGGTCAAATTGAGCTCACTGACAGTCAACCCCAGTAATTTTGTGTGTGTGTGTGTGTGTGTGTGTGTGTGTGTGTGTGTGTGTGTGTGTGTGTGTGTAATTTTGTGTTTGCCAGATATGATTCAGTTTTCAAATACCGGTCGTCATTTTCACCTCAGAATACGACATTTTTGAAAGAATTTCAGCTGACTAGAGCAATCATGTTCGTCCCAAAGCTGAAAGTTAGATAGCTGATGAGAAAATATCTACAGACAAATATTTCTTATCATTTGAGTCAATTTGTGAAATATGAATTTACACAAAGTATGATCATATTACTGCCATTCCATGAACCATACGAAAGCATATGAACTTGCAGCATTAAAACATGACAGAGTAGAATTGTGTTGTTCTGACTAAAGTCAGACAGCTTGGCCAGATGTTTACACATTGTTCCTTTGGGGCATGAAAGTCCAATTTATTTAGAGTGTTTGTTTCACGGCCCCTAATGCTAAGCTAAATGTCTCCATGTCACTCCAATCAACACTGTGTAGTTTCCAGTTACCTCTTTGCTGTCCTTCAGAGATGTTCTGTGCATCAAGTCTCTTTCTTGCATCCTTACTTCCATCAGTTTCATCACCCAACAGCAGTTCCGTTCCCGGCTGAATCTCATGACACACGCGCAAACACAGACTCACGCATATGCCCACACACATCTCCGCACACATACATTGCACTGCTACATTGTGCGCAGCTTTGCTTTGCACCTGGCAGGCAAAGCTGTGGAAGACAAAAAAAAAACAGATTGTTTTTTATTTGTTTGTTTCAAACACAAATGGGTACTTATACTGCAAATGGAGTGCAGGGAAATTTGTTTCTGGGTATGCACCTGTGCTCAAATGCAAATTACTGGCAAGGAAAAACCATGACATCACCCCTGTATATGTATGTACAGCTACATCTTTGGTTTCACAATACACGACTGCATCTACAGTAAATTCAAACATCGGTAGACTGGACACATGATGAAAAGTGTTGTTTTTTTAAGGGTTACAATTTAAATCTATTTTAAATGGTGAACTATTCTGTGATGCTAAGAAAAAAAAATAACTGTTGGTGTGAAAACCAGTTCACCTGATCCAGACAGCTTGGCGCCATGGAAAATCTTTGTTCTCTGCTATTTGCGTAGGTGCCTTAAAAACAAAAGAAAAGCCAAAAGTCAATAGAAAATATAAATTCATTGCACGCACAAACACAGGTTTGTCAAAATGTAAATTACAATGCACACCTCCTCTCTCTAAATGTTCAGAGATGCGATGTTGCAGTTCATATCTGACTCAGAATGGCCAAAAGCACCCACAAAATGCCAGAAATAGGAGCACACAGGAGGGTTGAACTGTGATAGTCGATTATTTGCTGCACCATTTTATGCAGGGTGATCATTTTTATCTCTGTCTCTTTTATTCTCAAATTTTAGAGAAGAAAAAGGATTGACTATGTATCCACGGGGCATGGTTTTAATTAGCAATTGTTTTATCGTGGACTCTAATACTTATCCATCCAAGACCCCGAGAGAAATTGTTGCTGCAGGTGGATGGGAAATCATTGTGAAGATTTAAAGGCCCACAGTTACAGTGAATCAAAATGGAAAGCTGAATTGAAGGCGATGTGTCCAGTTCATTTCGTTTCGATAACAGTTCATGCTTTAGCATCTCTAATCTAAATCAGTCAATTGGATGAAATTACTATTACCACTTTTTTTGTTTTGTTTTGGGGTACCACGATTCTGGCCAAAGTATAGTACAACTTCCATATTTGCCAGGAAAACTACAAAATATAAATTAGACAGAACAAGACCTTGTACAAACCCAATTCCAATGAAGTTGGGATGTTAAATAAAACAAAGATTTCCAAATCATCCATCCATCCATCCATCCATCCATCCACTTCCGATCCACTTTATTCTCACAAGGATCGCGGGGGGTGCTGAAGGCCATCCCAGCCATCTTCGGGTAGTAGGCGGGGGACACTCTGAAACCGTTGCCAGCCAATCACAGGGCACACAGAGATGAACAACCATTCGCGTTCACACCCACACCTCGGGACAATTTAGACTGTTCAATCAGCCTGCCATGCATGATTTTGAAATGTGGGAGGAAACCGGAGTACCCGGAGAAAACCCACACAGGCACAGGGAGAACATACAAACTCCACACAGGAAAGGCCAGAACTGGAATCGAACCCAGTACCTCTGCACTGTGAGGTTGGCACCGTAACCACTGGACACCCGGACCGCGATTTCCAAATCATGTTTAACCTATATTTAATTGAATACACTACATAGACAAGATATTTAATGTTCAAAATGATCAAGTATTGTTTTTGGCAAACAATCATAAACTGAGAGTTTTATGGCTGCAAAACGTTCCAAAAGAGCTGTGACAAACTCATGTTTACCGCTGTGTTTTGTCATTGAATCAAGATGGCGGCATAGTTGGCAGCCATTTTGCAAGAGCTCTGCTTTTTTGTTGTTTTTTGTTTCTTGTTCTGTCATATCTTGTTTGTTGTGCTTCGTATGGACCCGTTGGGGACTGTTTTCAGCATTTTGGCCACGACATTAATTGAAGAGGAAGCGGAGAATATCAAACTTTGCACAACAAAATAGCAGTGAGAGAAAAACTACTTGCTAAACATAACCAGAAATGGCTGACAGTTTGCTAGGCCAGGAGGAGTTGCCTGTAAGCTTTATAAGCTTCCGTGTGTGTGTGTGTGTGTGTGTGTGTGCGCGTACACATTACACGTTTTTTTTTTTTATTTGCTTATCTCAAAATTGTCCATTACCATGAATACAAAGACAATTTAAAAGCACTATTTTCCTCTTTAAACAAATAAATCCAAATCACACTCATTGCATCGATTCTTCCTTTAAAGTTCCCATTTTCTTTGTTTTAAATGTGCATGCAACGTACCCTCTCTTCTTTTGTGCTGTCTGTTGGATGGATGGATTCCATTGTCATGGTAAGGTCTGAGGGAGTTAGTGGGTCAGTCTCAAACTTCTGTACCCATTCTGGTTGACCTTCCCTCCTCAGCAGTTCTCCCACCCGCAGAGCTCGACCAACCCACCACAGTCCAAGTCTTCCCTGACATGACATTGAAGGCCCCACAGCGAAGCCAGGGGGTACTAACGAAGAGAGAAATGAAGTCAGAGCAGTTGGAATGGAAGGCGCTAGAGAGGAGGCCATCATCCTATAACAAAAAAGGGAGATAAACAAGTCACTTTATTGATGAACAGAATTTAACATCATATTAACCAACGTACATTTTGGTTTCACTCCTAATCATGTATCATCATGCCATAGTGTGATACAAAGTTATATGTGTCTGTAGTTTATGGTGGCTAATGGTATCGTAGAATTGCAGAGTATAATAATGAGAGCAGTATCTAATATTTTGGTTATCTGAGGTAGTTACATCAGAGTAAAAAGTATTAGAAATTAGGGCTGTACAATATGTCAAATAATTATCAGCATCAAGACAATGACATATGGAACATGCATATCACAAAGACGTGTGAAAAATTAATCATGGAATTATATAGTTTAATCTGACATCGAGCAATCAGATGCAACTTTACAGAGGCCATCCAATAGGAAAACAGTATCTATGAGCAGTACGAACACAAAAAAACGTAATTAAATTTAAGAATACATCGAGGATACTTATTTCTCCGCATTAAAAAATATTTCATTTGAAAATAAATTACTTTAGGTACGTTTTATATCAATATAACAATACAATATTGAACACCCACATCACGTTTTTCCGAATTCGTCCAGCCCTATATGGAATATGCGAAACCACTGCAAATTAAAAGCACACTAAGAAACATGTCAAATCAGTATGTAATTAATCCATATTCTTTGTCAGTGTCAATAACAATAAAAACAGAGCATTGTATCAGCTCTTGTATTGGGTCACATTAGGTCATAATGTAGGTGTTAATGTATATTTTCAGTGTAACTTTAACAGTGTTCAAACCCAACAACCATTGGTTTTGTAAATATCTGATTTTCTTAATAGATTCTATTATTTTTCTTTACTCAAGAAGATAAACGTAAACTATACTGTGCTTTATGTTCTGTTGCTCTTCTCACTACCAGTGTGATACATACGTTAGTTTAAAAACACACGCACATCAGAGATGTTTAAATTTGTAGATGAGCGACAGGATTTTGCCCTTGCGAGCATTATTAGCTGCCTGGCTAGTGAGACTCGATGACAAACACCAGCATCGATGTTACACAATAAGAAAAAAAACAACAACATGGAGACTTGGATATCAAAGTATACTGATTATATCTACCATTGAAATTCTTCAAATATGTATGGTGAAGAGTCTAACGTTATCCAGAGACAAAATAGCCAAATGTCCGCATCGCTATTGGTCCGGCTGGAAATGTGTCCCTCACGTCTTAGAGTTCCGCTCACACAACTAGTGTGTTATATTCTTGTGTATACGTCGCAGGGGTGGGCAAACTTTTTGGCTCGGGGGCCACATTGATTTCTAAATTTGACAGGTGGGCCGGGTCAGCACAAAATACAGTACATCTAAAAAACTGTACATGTTGACAGTCCATACCAAACATCAACAGAACAAAGGCATTAAAGTATTACCATCCTTTTTTTTGAATGAGAACAGTGAAACAACTATGGTATATGTCCTGTATGAACGTCCAAATATGTTAACAACATACATGTGTGACAACACAAGCAACATACTGCAACAAGATATTGCCCAAAAACTGCAGCATACAGTACAGGTATATGACAAAATATAACAAAGTTAGGACTATTTGCTACAAAATGAGACGAGTAAAAGACCTGGTGGCTTTCGTTCCACTCACTCACTGTCTCGAACTTGACCTCCCCTCGATCACCACACAAGACAGCGTTGCTCAGCTGATGTCGTGCAACAAATTTTTGAAGCTAGCCACGGGACGCTTTGAAGTCTTCGATGCCCATAGCGCGATGGAACTCGCTTCCCACGGGACGCTTTGAAGTCTTCGATGCCCATAGCACGATGGAACTCGCTTCTTCTCTTATTAGCGGTCCATTTTGCGGAAAGTGTTTAGCACGATAACAGTCAAACCATTCTAGGAAACGTTGATTTACTCGACTGCCCGTCGAGCCGCAAGCAATTCACTCTAACCATAGAAATACTGTCATCGGAATCGGAATTTAGCAAGAATCGCTTCCTCGTTTTTCAAAGTCTCGTAAATTTGAGACTTTCAGACTCCAAGCGTCTCCTGAATGTTTTGTACTTTGTAACCCGCTTCGTTTAATCAGATACACTTCACTTTCTCTTCCGTGGCCATTACTGTTCCTCTTCGTTTGGATGCCTTGATCAACAGGATGTAAAAATTTTCGCAATTCCAGTAAAATTCACTGCAGTAAAGAGTCACTTGCATGTCGCTGTTTTGGATCGAATGATAGAAAATAGCGTCGTGGACACACTTATTCTGTCGTATCGAGCAGGAGTTGCTTGAGTTGGCGCTACTGCGGGCTTCCGTATCGTCTCCCGCTCCTTACCTGCGATCTGCAACTTCAAGTAACTGCGCCGCCTGGCGTTGAAATGCTTGTCATTACAAGTCCAAATGAAATAAATGCAATCATTTACATCGAACCTTAATTGTGTACCAACTTTCTGCGGGCCGGATTAAAAAGACCAAAGGGCCGGATCCGGCCCGCGGGCCGTAATTTGCCCAATTTGCGTTAGGGTGACTAAAAAGTCCTCTTTTGCCCCGTCGTCCGGAAGTATTTTATAAATTTATGAAAATGGTTGCTTCTCATGGGACCATTTAGCATGTGTGTAATTTTACTTACGTTTTTTTTTTTTTTAATTTTATTTTTTTATTATGAGAGGCGGAGTGTGCCGTTATGACGTATCCTCTTCCGTACGTACCCACTGGCGGGGCGGGGAGAACCAAAAAGCAAGCACCGGCAGTCAGCACGAGAAAGTGGAGCCGCTGCGCTCAGTTACAAGCGTGAATGTCCTGCAAGGGTCACGGGGGGTGCTGCAGCCTATCCCAGCTGCTTACGGGCAGTAGGCGGGGTCCACCCTGAACTGGTTGCCAGCCAATTACAGGGCACTCGTGGACGAACAATCATCCACGCTCACACTCACATCTTGGGACGATTTTGAGTCTTCCATGAACCTACCATGTATGTTTTCGGAATGTGGGAGGAAACTGGAGTACCTGAAGAAACCCCCCGCAGGCACGGGAGAACATGCAAACTTCTCACATCCATATCGCTTGTTGCGTGTTTTTCCAATATAATGAAGCCTTATTTTAAAATTATTAGAGTAATGCATCATTTCAGTATTTCGAGGCCGAGTGTCCTCTTTTTTGCAAATTAAAATATGATCACCCTAGTATACGTTAATAAATAACATACCATTATAAATAACATATATAACAAATAACATACACATACTACATATTGTGTGTGTATATACAGTCTATACAGTATTATTTCCATTTTAAAAATGTACATTAGTTACAGAAGAGGAAAAATACATACCAGATGTTGGTTTCATCATTATATAACACAAGAAGAATATACTTTGGAACAGAATTGTAACAGTTTCATGTTGCTTAAGAAATTGGAAAAACATGTTTCGTATTTACAGCATCTTTTAACTGCAAGTGTAAAACATGCTTCGAACAGAAGTTTCTCATGAGTCTTAGGGATTGCAGACAGTGTAATGGTGTTTGTGGAGTGGAGACTGGGGTGGAAAAAAGTGCTTGAAAGCTCTGCATTGAGCTACAAGGCAAACAGTGATGTCATGTGTAAGCCACCCACCCCATTTGGAGAAATAAAAAAATAAGTGTCACTATTATTTTTCTGAGTCAGTGTAACCAGTACATTCTGTTTACCTCAATGCGCGCAGCTCTCTGAAACTTTGACAAAATGAGATCTGTGTTTTTGTGGTTTGAAGAACAGAGAGGTGCTTCACCTGGGATGATGGAAACATCTTTTCAGTGTGATGATTCTGCGAACTTTTTGAGTAAAATCAATATTTTTCTATGGGTGCTATTATTCCTATAAAAAGCATTTTACACAGAAATATATTTCTACGATTAAAAAAAGTTTATAAAAATCCATAATATGGATTTTTACTTAATGTATATTTTTCAGAACATAAACATCATGTGTGAGATTCACGCTATACAATGCCAGGCATTTGGTTTTTAATGAAGATTAGGACAAATGTCGCTATGGTCACTGAAAAAAACAATCGTTTTGATTCAATGTAAGGTTGGAAATATGTAATACATTTACATCTTAACTTAAAAAGTTCATGTGCCTGTATGAGTAGACATTAGCCTGAGTACCTAAACTTCTTTTTTCCCCACATTTCATCAAAAGTACACAATAGCTTTCCTCTGAAAATTGTACATGAATGATAAGACATTTGTTCTGGATTGTTTCTGGTGGTGGATGAATCCATACATTATACAAATTCATCTGGCAGAAGGACAGTACAGGAATGTCTTAAAATATATATTTACCGTATTTTCTGCACTATAAGGCGCTTCAGATTATAAGGCACAGCATCAACGAATGGCCTTTTTTAAAACAGTTTTCATATATAGGGCACACTGCATTATTAGGCGCATAGAATAGAAGCTACAATAATTTTTTTAGAAATCTGAATTGATACCCAGCCTTACGTTTCAATAGTTGACAGACCAACAAGACTACTGAGCCTAATACTATATTTTTTAAATTAAATAGCTACAACAGGAATTGTGAAGCACGCAGTCAGTTTTATTTTTGAAAGAAATGGATAGAACTGTTTCAGCAGGTCTGCCCAACGTCAAAACAATATGAATCTTAACATGTAACAAGTCGATGACATTATGTGGAGAAGGCACAGCCCCCAAAATAAAGAAAAAGAATCAAAGAAAACAGTGTAAAAATAAAAACAGACAGAATAAACCGGGCAATTGACATTGCCATGTGAGATACAGTGATGAGGAGCTGCCTCCACGAGCGAAAATACAATTGATCTTCAAATCGTGATGCTTTCCTTTCTTGACACTCAGGGCTGCCACTGCCCGCAAATAGTAACCCCTCGCCCTTTCGCAACCCCTCACCAGGGTGAGGAGGATCTCATTTTCATGACACAGGACTGACCCCTTCAATAATAGGGTTCAACGTGACCAGTAATTCTTGTTCTTTGGAGTGTTTTGATAAAAGCATGTCACAGACATGTTATTATGACATATGGAAAGTGTTGTAAATTGTAAAAAAAAAAAAGTGTCCTCGAAGTCTCCTTTAAATTACAAACATGAAACAGACAACAGGTTAATTTTCCAACTCATGATGCAGAGGAGCTGTGCACTGCACAGCCATGTGGAAGGTGATAAATAAGCTAAAAAAAAAAACAAAACAAAAAAAAAAAAACAACACACACACAGTCCAGCCAACAAAACAAAAACAGTTGGATGAAAAGTCAAAAGTCGTAATCGTCTTTACATAAGGAGTGACTTAAAAATCACTCACCGTTTCTGTGTGTTGCTCTGGGTTCATACAACTTTTTCAAATTCTCGTGTCTCTTAATTACCGGCTCAGTGCAGCAGACACTCACTGTGAAACTCATAAATAAAAGTGTGTGATTAGTCTTAACTCGGGTATAAATGATGACAGGGTTCTTTCGATGGCTTAGGTTATTTTAAATATTTCCTAATACTGTATTGTCTTTTTTACACTCTCTGCCAAACCAAATAAAATCACTGTGATTATGCATGACATAAACAGACAATATAATGGTGAGTTTATGAATAAACCAAATCAAACAATATCATGGTGAGAGAGTTATTAAATAAACAATTACGTTTGAGTTGATTTGTAAGTTTCTTCCACTTAATGCACTTTCCAGAAAATGTAACATTATTAGTTATTGATTTTACTGTTGTTTGGTCAGAGTTTGACTATAACAATACAGGTGCAGACAGTGTAGGTGCGCTTGTTTGTGTGGCAGCTTTGCGAGTGCTGTCACATTATTTATGTTACAATTTTGGAATCCATACATTTAAAATTTCTCTGTAAGTTGATACTAATGCTGAGAACTGAGAGTGCAACGAAGGCTTACAACCATTTATCGAATGCATTCATTGACTGAAAGCACTTACAGTTTTGCAGAACAGAAATTGCAATGAGTTCTTTCGAATCTTGTGCCTAATAACGGTAACCACTTTTAACCATACCTTAATAAACTATACCAATCAAGATTTATGAAACTGCCGAGGGATGGCAACTTCCCTGTGGATCTTTTGTGCAGAAACGTGTCTTTGAATTTTTAAGCCATTCAAATACTCCCAGTGTCCTTCACCAGAAATATCTTCCAAAAAAAATTGAGATAAACAAAGTATGTATCTGCTATTATATATTTAAAATGCATTTTTGAGTGCTGTAAATATTCTTTTAAAAGTTTGTCTGCTTTTTTTTTTTTTTTTTTTTACTCATCAAAGTTGCTGGCAGGGGTTGATTCAACTGCACTGCTGTTGCCCCTCTTGTGATTTCTTTGTCTTGCTTTCACTGCAGACAGAATATGCTTTGTATTAATACATTCAGGTAAAATGAAAAAGTGGTTTCTCTTCAAATTTCACTCACCATCAGTACACTCCACCTGGGGTGTCTCCCATTGTCCATCTGTTTTACAGCGGACCACTGGGAGGTGGCGCTGTCTAAATCCTGGGTTGCACTGATACCGGATGATTGAGTTGATGGGGTATTCCTCCCTTTTGTTACCAAACATATGAGCATTTTCCACCAATGGAGGGGCACCACAAAACACTGAAGATGAAAAAAATGAATGAAATAGGTATAGTGCCAGGAACAAATGGACAAGGATAAAAATGTGAGGCCTAAGCTGACATACCTGGGCCTTTTTTGCAGGTGAATGGTAGATGGTAGTTGCAAGGTACATCATTCCACTGACCCTTGGCATCCCAGATCATCACGACACAGTCTTCTCCAGAGTTAACGTAATTATCTGGTTGATTTGCCTTCCAGTTTTCATATTGCTTTAGGCCAAATAAAAAAAATACCTACTGTGTGAAATAATAGTGTGTATAAAAATAAAATAATAGGCTTTATTTAATCTAACAAAGTACAATTCAAGGTATCTTAGATCACCGATAAAAAGACATTTTGAAAGTATTTATAGTCGAATTTACTCTGCTTGCATCTTACGTGTTTGCCAATAAACAATATAAATTTATTATAATCCACATGATTAGTAGCATGGCATGTGTTTTACCCTTTCCCAAAGTGTCAATTTAGGCTATCACTATCTATTTACTGATTTACTTAACTTTGAGGGATTGTTGTGCATTTTCAAACACAATACAATAAGTGACCGATGACTGGTACTGGACATTTGTTCCATGAGTATGTCAAAGCTGCTGCTCAGCTGGAGCTGTCCATCCATTCATCCATCAGTTCATCCATCCATTCATTCATTTTCTAATCCACTTATCCTTACGAGGGTTGCGGGTGTGCTGGAGCCTATTCTAGCTGACTTCGGGCAGTAGGCGGGGTACACCCTGAAATGGTTGCCAGCCAATAGTCGGGCAAACATAGATGAACAATCATTCGCGTTCAACCTCACACTGAGGGACAATTTAGCGTGATCCATTAACCTGCCACGCATGTTTTTGGAAATGTGGGAGGAAGTTCACATAAGTTTTCCCCGATAAATTTCAATTAATGTCTGTAGAAATACATAAAGCATATGAATTACAGATTAATGCTGCCAAGAACTGTAGAAAATAATTTTAAATACTATATGCAAAGTCCTTGTGGAAATTGGATGTCATGACACCAAAGAATATAAACGATACCTCAGCTCATAGGTGTCAAACTCAGGTCCTGGAGGGCCGCTGTCCTGCATGTTTTCCAAGTCTCCCTGTTGCAACAAACCTGATTCAAATGAAATGGTTCAATATCAGCTTCCGCAGACCTCGCTAATGATCTGATCATTTGAATCAGGTGTGTTGCAACAGGGAGACTTGGAAAACATGCAGGACAGCGGCCCTCCAGGACCGGAGTTCGACACCTGTGCCCGGCTCAGCTATACAACAGTTATGGTAGACTTTTGTTCTACTAGGGAGGATGATGCGATCTTAACAAATGCATGCCATGCATGGGTTTTAAACCTGTGGCATGCATTTGTTTTTACAACACAACGCATGTCAGGTGTACATGAAGTGTACCTGCATTGCACAGGGGTTAAGTCTCTTTGTATTTAATCTGCAAAATAATTGTCAGGTATTGTCACTCACCAGTGGAGTCCCATCTGTCCACCGGAAGTCCTTTTCTATTGTCTTGTCATTGAGTCCGATCCACTGATAGTCTTGTGCATTGGCTAATAGGGGTGGGGGGGGGAATCATTACTCAGTCTGCTCTAACGTTTACATTTAACCAGAGGTGGGTGCGTCAGTAAATTTTGCCCCACTGCCATTTGTCACTGGCCAGTGCCTCAAGCCAACCAAATCTGTCATCGTCAATCTGTAACTCCATTATCATGACTTTAAATGCACTTTGTTCATCGCTAAATTACTTTTCGTCACCGCTAGTTGAGAACCGTCACCCAGTCCATCACTCTGTTATTGTTAATTTAACAATGCTTCCGTCATCGCTAAATTACCACTATTTTAGCACCGTCAGATTTTCTTCTTTTCTTGTTCAGTGGCGTTGAGAACCTATTTACTACGTCACATTTATTCTGAGTACAAGTAGATTACAGTTAAATTAAAAAAAAAAAAAACAAGGCAAACACCTAAACACACATAGCATGGTGATTGGTGAAATAAAAACAATATGGGACAGTGTCATTGTGGTCTGTGGGACTGGCGAAAGATGAATACAACACAGCCAGCCTCCTTTCCCAGTCGGAATGGCTGAAAAAAGGAGCAGGCTTGGAGAATGGGAAACCGAGATTTAGCACCAAAGGTCAACTGACTAGCGATGTTCAGTTTTATTTATTTATTTATTTTTTTGTCCGAGGACAAGGAGCCCTTCCTCCACGTCGCAAAAAGCAACCCCGGTGTATTCACCCCCGTGAACAAACATATGAGAGACACACTGCACGCGTTTTCATCAGTCAGTAAAACAGGAATCCGTAAGGACTGAGAAGTTCCTTCAGTACTGACCCAGTTTGTGACGATTCCGGTGATGGACGAAAACCCACTTCTGTCTTTGCTTAGTCCGTCAGTTTTTCAAAGTTTCCCGTCATTCATCATTCGCCAGCAAACCAGACGTCCGTCAGTGATGAACCGACGGCCCTTTCATCAGTCGTGACGCAATGCCCACCTCTGCATTTGACATGACCATATCAGGTAGGCACTCACAGTTGACAAAGTGTTGCTCCTCTGGTGTTATGATGCTGACCAGATGTGCATTCAGATCCCGGCAGCGTTGCTCAGCATCCAGCCACATCTCTCGATCACTGAAGTGCAGATAGCAGTTCCCCTGAAACTTAGTCCAACCCTTTTCACACCGCTGTTCATCTGCAGCCAAAAAAATCAAGAGAGATTGACGTGAAATTAGGCAATAACCCAACACACCGTGTTGATTGAACCTATGTTTTCACATTTCAGTGTTTGCAATTGAAAATGAGATTCAAGGGTCAACTAGAGCTACAATAAATGAGGTGGGGATGGTGGGATGATCCATATCCAAGCAAGTGAAAACTAAGTCCATTTGTGTTATTTATCGTAAAAGGTCATATGAATCATGAACTTTGTCTGGTCCATCACCTCGGACATGGGTGACTCTCCAGAGGTATGAAGACCCAGACAACTTAGCTCCTAGGATCATTAAGACACACATATCCTGCACCACGATCAGGGGATGGATCATAGAAGGGATGTCTTATTTTGGAAGTGGAAATATGGCAGTAGCGAGTACAATACTGTGGCAACTCCTCATAAAACCATGCAGTGGAGAAGAGGCTTTCGATCTCCTTACAGCTTTTGTGATGGGAACCAATAAACCAAGACCACACAAAAGGAAATTGCTAATGTTAATCAGTTATGGCCTTGTCAGACTACACAACTTTTTTGTCATTCACAACGGTCGCCATGTCAGACTACCACATAAATATTGTTCTGTGTCTTGGACCAGGCAAGATGTCACACTACACGTTCATCCCTGACCAGACCCTGCCCAAACACTGCGTGCTTCCGTCAAGATTTAGTCCAATGACGCAGGTCGATCGGGGAAGCGGGACGAGCTGCTGTAGTCATGTTGACGGAGGCTTTTGGTGCAAGGGAATGGATTAAATGTTCAGAAAAGGGAAAAGAAAAAATTTCAAGAAGAGTATGGACCTGTTCCTGGATGGTGAGGAGTGGGCACTATGGACTGTCTATTCTCTAAAAAGGACTTGAGGAAACAAATTTGTTTCATGACACCACATTTGCTAACAAGCTATGAGCTGTGCAGTCAGCAAACATAGCATGAGTTGAAATGCTATATACAGGTATACTTCTCAATATTTCTCATTTTGCTCATGTCACTTTTTAAATACTGTACACCATATTGTTATTTTGTGCGCCACATCCAGTCTCTTGTCATAAGTTGGCGGGCACTGTCTCCCTATTGGTCAATGTCAAAGAACAAATTGAAGAATGACATAGGACATGACGCTATAACTACTACTACTACTACAATTACTTCTACTATATGCGGTTGAGAGTTTGTTAATATCTATCAGCAGAAGCTAAACTCATACCAATCTCACAGCGCTCCCCTCCGTAGCTTGGCAGGCAAACGCATTTGTAAGAGTCTGCATTCTCCACACAGGTAGCTCCATTGGCACATGGATTGGAGTGGCAAGCATCTAATTCTGCAACAACAACAAAAAAAAAATGTGTGAGCAATACTAATGTGTTTAGTAAGGTATTGGGAGCAAGGGTGGAATGGTCAGTTTTTCTGACACTTGGGATGATGCTACTATTTGCAGGAAAGATCATGAAATCGTTGCAACTTCCAATCTATAAGAAACGGATTGCATATTAAATATTTGATCAATCATGGTATTTGATGTCTTTAAAATTTTAAAAAGTATCAACGTTGTGTACACCAAATGTTGATTTTGTTAAAAAATTATACTAAAAATGTAATATTTATATGTAGAATCAGTTTGCTGAAACAGATTGTCTGTTGGCTGTGAAAATTTCAATAGAATCAGAGCATCCATGACCCCATTTTAAACATGTACACAGCAAAGCAAAGCTAATGGGTGGGTACAGCAGACATCAAAGCTGAAGAAAGGATTGATTAAAAACACCCAGGACAGTAATATCTGAGCAGAGCCAATAGATATTCGGTAAACACCCTAACAGGCAACAATATCCAATAAAGAGGATACAATGCACAAAAGGAAAGACAAAGCAAAACACCCAAACAGAAGAAAGAGAATGTGTTTTCGTTTAATCTGCCAAACAAAGTACCAGTATGTTTTATCGATAGTTACTATCATCACAAAACACACTGCATGCATAGCCGTATCGGAACATGTGCAAATAGTCAGTTAAACCCATTGTCTGCGAAAGAAAATGACAAAATAACTAGAAGTGTCAAAAGTATTCACGTTCAGAATTTAAGTAGAAGTATACAGTAGATATTGGGATTTAAAAAGACTTTTGTCAAAGTTGAAGTATCAAATCCAGATTTTTATTCAAGTAAATGTATAAAATGAATGGTTTTAGAACTACTTAAAGTATAAAAATAACAGTAATGCAAGGAGAATAAAATGCATTGAAGCGGAAGTCAAGTCAAACATTTTCTGTTTAATATGATCTAAGTGCCCTGATAATCTAAACACACATTTTTCTGATTTATGGATTAATAACTAATCAGATTAATCCACCCCACCCCAAAGTTTTTGACTTGACTTTCAGGAAAAGTTTTTTTTTTTCCCAAGATGGCGCCTGAATAGGCAGCCGTCGGCAAGTGCTCTTCAAGAGCCTTGCGTTTTTTGTTGTTTTTGTGTTTTGTTTTGTCACTTTGTGTTTGTTGTTATGTCGTGCGGATCTGATGTGGACTGTTTTCAGCATTTTTGGCCAAGACATTCATCAAAGAAGAAGAATCTGTGCTTGGTGGTTACGCCTTCTCGACGGCACGCGTGTACCAGCACTGATTTTGATTTGGAGGAAAGCCATTTGACTGTCATTGCTGGACTGGTGCGTGTGTCTTGCGCCAGAAATAGGCAGCATTTTCACATTCCCACTTTGTTCAGCGAAAAGGTCGGTGCCGATGGACAGTCTGCGGCTGGATGGATGCATGGCTTGAGGAGCCGACGATGAGAAGAAAGGAGCGTCAGCGCAGAACGCCGATGCCTATGTGGAACTGGGAGTCGCGGTTTGGAATTGAAGCGGATTTATATGGGACAGGAGAAGAGTGCCAATCTCTCTTTTTCGTCAATGGATGCTACAGCTTCTTGTTGCTTTCAAGCTTAGCTTGTAGCAGACGTGTGCACATTTCAGCATGACGTCTTTGATCCACTGGTGAAAAGGACACTTTGATTCGCTCCTCTTTCATCTATTACTGTTTCAAACAACAAAGTGAATGGAGGAAAAGTGGTTAAGATGGCATGACTATCTGTTTTATGTGTTGTGTTGTATTACTTTGTTATTTTATGTTAACTTTTCTTTTGATGGCGGCTCCTCTTGTTGTCTGTTGTCTGTTTAAGAGGGATGAAATTTCATCTGCGCTGTATGTACAGCACACTTGACAATAAAGTTGTACTTGATACTTGACACTTGACTAACGGTTAAACCGGATCACAAAAGCCTATTTTGCACCACCCCACTTCCCCCAAAAAACATTTTTTCTAAAGGCCACAATGATCCTTCCGTCCATCCATTTTCTGACCCGCTTTTTCCGCCTATTTCCCAGCTATCTCTGGGAAATAGGCAGGGTAGAACCTGAACTGGTTTGCCAGCCAGCCAAAAACTACCATCCGCGCACATTATCACACCTAGGGACAATTTAGAGTGTCCAATTAACCTACAGGTGTATTTATTCTGTTTTTTTCATTTTAAAGGTTAAATTTACAACTGCTTAGAAGGGTGAGAACCATGTGAGAGGATTCATAAAGGCTGAATTGAGGCGTAACTCAAAAAAAAAAAAAATCTACCTCGACTTCGCAGAGATTACATATTGCGAGGGATCATTGAACATGCCACCCACAAAAGGTGACGGAACATTGTACTTATTAAAGTTCCTCAAGGCCCTTGAGTCAAGGGGAACTCAGACTCTGTTGTATGTTTTGTATGGCCCACCACAAAAGGAACTAGAATCACACACTTGTGATGCAGTTGAGAAAGAATGATTTCATAGTGATAATTTCAGATTTTTTTTAATACATCAACAATAAATCTAGTTATCTGCAAAAAATCAAGTCTAATTGCAATTGGCTAACTTACCCTGAGCGTGTTCAGCATCCTCTTGACTTCCATTAACCGGTGGAATAACATTGGGAAGAGCAGATAGTCCAGCTGGGACAAGCTTAGAAGCAAGAGCCCAAGATAGTCTCTTTGGAACATTAGTCACTGTGGCAGTCTCTATTAATTCCCACTGAGTGGAGGGTGATGTCATAACCTGTGATGGCCCTTCTTTCTGAGTTTCTGAAGGAATTGACATGATGACACCTCTACTCTCAGTGTGGAAACCTCTGCCACTGTTGTTGATTTCTTCACCGATGTATTGCACTGTCCCTTGTTGAATCTCCTCAGACACCGTAAGGTTTCTAGACACTCCTGTCATAACATCGCCACTCAATAATGTAACACTGTCACCCTGTCATAACATCGCCACTCAATAATGTAACACTGAGTAACACTTCTCCAGACATTGCAGCCCCAGATAAGGGCTCCAAGGAGCGAACTCCTGACAAATGCTCAGGAATGGCCTCTCCTGAGTTGGAGAGTGAAAAGCCAGAGGCTTCTTGCTCCCCAAATGATGACTCTGTGAGGTCAGTGAACGCTGACCCGTCAAAGGTCACATCTGAGAAGAACATAGAACCACTTCCAGAAGCCGAGCCACTGAGATCATGTGTGGGCATCCCATAACTGTCCCCGGAGCCACTGAAAACCAGTAGTCCCCTTCCAAGCTCATACTCTTTTTGGGGAATAGGAGCAAATGTGTCAATCAATTCATTATCTATCAGCAAGATCTTAGCATCTCCAGCTCCAGTAATGTGCCCTGATTGTCCACTGGCACTTCCTGAATCGGAGAGCCCTGATGGGAGACCACCAGAAAAGTCCAGGCTTTTTATATGACCAGATGATATGCCAGAGAACTGACCATTTTCCCCTGAAGATTCCATGGAAAGATCAATCTCTTCAGAGGTGAAACCAGGATCAAGGCCAGATCCAGGTTGGTCTCTACTACAACTAAGCATTCCTGAACCTATTTCTGAAGAATTTATATTTATATGAATTTCTGTGACTGCCTCTTCAGCTTTTTGGAACCTCTCTGAAATGGTGTCTTCTCCTGATAGATCAGTGCCATTGTTAGAATACAAAACAGCACTGATTACTTGTTCTCCACTGATTCCTGACCTAGAAGAATCAGCACTGGTAACACCTGATGTACCATGAGGCTTGTCAGTACTAGTACCGCCCACCGTGTTTCCAGAGCCGGACAAGTCTCTGGACATAAATTGATCTCCTAAGCCAGACATGTCCCCAGAACCATCCAATTCTTTGGAGATGACCTTGTCTACAGAATTAAACAAGCTCAAAAAGCCAGAGAGGTCTCCAGAGGAACCTTGGTTGACAGAATCAGACAGGCTTCCGAAGTCTAATACATCCCCAGATATAAGTTTGTCTCCATAGCCAGACAGATCTCCAGAAAAGCCCCTGTCTCCTGATACAGACAGGTCAACAGAGGTCAACCGGACTCCAGATCTGGACATATCTCCAGAGATAACCTGATTACCAGACCCAGGCAGGTCTCCAGATGTGTTATCAATTGAAGACCCTGATCCAAAATTTGTTGAACCTGAACCAGAGCCTGGAGATTCCACAGGGATGGGTGTGACAATTGGTGTAATCACTAAAGAGGCAAACAAACAGAGGTGAGATGCATGACAGATAAAAGTAACAAAGATGAGTTTAAAAACAAAAATCATAATTGAAATGGTACTTACCAAGTCTCACTAACTCTGTGATAGATGTTAATTTGGGAAGGACATCCTGGATATCCGTGATGTTAAGTCCAGTTTCATTTGCAATAAATACAATGTCTGCTGTAAAAACACATAAATAGTCAAATATTAATACATAACACAAACATAATGTGAGGGTGAGTATTTACCTTTGAAACAATATGCATCAAATCTGTCGTGAATATCAGGGCCTGCCAGGTTGGGATGGATATAAACAGTGTGTACTCCTGATTTTCCTGCTCCACACTCAGCACGAGGGTAAGTGATGGGATAACGGACACTGCGATCTCTGAGCCAGCCAGGACGGCACTTGTCAAAACCTTGCTTCCAGGCTGCGTGGAGCTCTCCTGTTGAGGCCAAGCTGGCATTCTGCTCGAGACACAGAGTAGCCGCCTCGTCATAGGTGAAACCCTTATCAGAGCCCAGATGGAATACCTGCCCTAGGAAGCAAATGAGGACATTCAAAGATGATGGATGATAGGAAAACACATTAGATCAACAAACTGTCAATGTGCCATATGCAGTACTTCTTGGTTAGTACGAAACGCACAGTTGAATTTTCACTGTACAGCATCATGCAGTGCTTTGACAGTAAACACCAACTGCCTGGAACCAAAGGACTTTACTTTGAGGTTGGATGAGCCTCTAAAAAATGGTTGTGGACCATAAATTGTATGATAGAATAAAGTTGTTGTGACATTCCATCTCACACACACAGTCATATAGATTCAATCCAAATCTCAATTTTTGGCACTTTGATGATCGTGGAGACTAAATTTTTTACACATTTTTTACACACGTTTCCTGTGCTTTGGAATCAAGATAGCATTTTTGATAAAGCTGTTGCTGTGAAGTACTTTTAGATGAACCACCTATGCACACTCAACTCAACTCAACTGTATTTATAGAGCACTTTCAAACAGCCATCGCTGCGTACAAAGTGCTGTACGGCACACAACTATACTGTACATACAGCTTTATCTGTGTGACTTGGTCACTACATAGGACCAACTTGAGTGAAATTATTGTTTCATAATACAATTCTACAAAGTATATCATTTCTGTCTTGGATAAGTATGCTGGTCTCAAAACGTTTTACATCTCTTCAGCTCAACTCAACCGAACTCATCTTTATTTAAGATAAGATAAGATAAGATAAGATAAGATAAGATAACCCTTATTTGTCCCACACTGGGGAAATTTGCAGTCTACAGCAGGAAAATTTGGGGTTGCATTGCACAAAATAAATTTTTCAGAAAAGAACTGTACACAGTTCAATATAAGTGCAATATAAAATATAGCATTAGCAATATACAGTATTTGTAGAATAAATATAATGAATTAGCAATAGCATAGAAAACACAGCATAAGGTTTATACAGAGCTTTGACAATAGCTGCAACTGTAACAAGCACTTTAAAGAAAGGACTGATAAGTGCCAAACTAAAGGCAGTTGTTTATAATAAATGCATTATAAAATATATGAAATGTCACGGATTCAAAAATGTAACACAGTTAATAGGAAAGTAGCAATTGGTACTTTAACTTCAAAAAACAATCATCTCAAAACCTGGCTCAGCACTCTGGACAATCTACTTTTTCATTTGAAGCCATTCAGGGATGGAATAAACTGTCAATTAATCTGAAATAATTTTCTTATGTGAAATTAGAAAATGGCTTCTACCTGCCTTGTTATCATGAACTGTTAATGAGTAGTTGTATTTTACAATGTACTGTAATTAAGGGGTTTTTTTTTTTCATCACTCACTTTTTCCATTTCTTTACCTGTCAAGGGACTGGAAATGCAAATTAGCATTAGCCAAATCTGGTACAAAAAAAAAGATGTACTGTACATTGGCAATGTTGACAAGTGGTTGGGTCTAAAAATCATGGACAATACCTTTCTAACTAGTTCCATCTTACAGAATTATTTATCAATTTAATATTTTGGATCTCCCATCTAGTTAAACTCTGGAAATTTTTACCTACCTTTAAGCCCCTCAATGTAGCAATAAGCATCATATTGTTCATCTGCTGGTCTCAGACCATGGGACTGAACTCCAGGTTGATCTCCTAAATTTCCATCACACTTGTCTTGATTTGAAACGATGGGGTACCTGGAATCAACCATAAGTGTTTAAAAAGTGTTTTGTGTGCCCATGAAAACAGGTACATATCAGAAATACCGGACTGTCTGATCCATCAACCATCCTGCATCACACTGGTGATATCCCGTTTCATATGCCAACTGTAGCTGCTCAGGGGTAGCGATGGTTGCACCAACACTCTGACAGGCCAACTGTGCATCAGTAAAGGTGAAGGCATAGCGGCCCGACCGTGAGCGGTAATGAAATACCACACCTTTGTGCAAAAGGAACAACATTGAATATGAGGATGCAGTTGTGAAAGGATGTCAAAGACTGATATGAGCATCCTACCACATCCTAACCATTCAGTTTTATATGCGTTATTATATCATAGGCTACATTATTATATTAAAACATAGATCACTAACCATTTGGAGCGATCACACCCACTTTGCCTGGCTCCCTGCCTAGATTGGATGGCAAAGTGACTTGCTCTATTATATCAGTGGGAATGTCTGTGACGTTCGGTGGCTGAGGTAGCAGTAGTTCACTGGGACTCAGTGTATAGCTAAAGTCCACAATGGTCGGTTGCTGGGTCTCAACCCCGCCGGCCACCTCACTCTCGGTTGTTCGCTTGCCAAAGAAAACCTCATGGCTCTGTACCACTGGGGTAACGCTCAATAAGCCACTTCCTTCCTCTATTAGGCCAGTTCCTTCATCTTCAGGGAACTCTGAGGGTGATATTTTACAAAGTCAATCAAATCCAAATACGAACCAGCACAAACAAATTAAGCTGTACATGTCAACCAAATATTATATATTTTCTCCTGGGAAAAACATCGGACATCTCAGTCCAGAAATGTGCAGTGCTGGGAACAGCAAGGACACTGCGCAGAACCCTCAAGCTTCCTGGCCTCTGGTAGAGGACCCGAGCTGAATGAGGGATGGACACCACCCGAGGGGGTGAGACGAGGATATTTTTTTTAAATATATATATATACAGCACACGTGAATAATGATTGTTACCAACAGGCCTCTTAGAAGTACTTAACAAGCTCACTGATGTACTTACCTGTGTAGCAAAAGGCATCATACGGAGCCTGAAGAAGAGGATATCCTGTCTGATTTGTGTGGAGGTAAACAGTTCGCACCCCCAGAAGCCCTCCCCCACACTGTGGCCGCCGGATGTTGATGGGGTAGCGAACGCTTCTGTCACCCAGCCACCCAGCATTACAGATGTCCATCCCTCCCTGCCAGGCCAAATACAGCTGGCCTGTAGTGGCCAGTATGGCCCCCTTTGTGGAACAAGCCAGCTCAGCCTCAGAGAAAGTGAACTTTTCTGCTGATGTAATGTGGAAAACCCTGCCTGTAAAAGACAGAACAGGTAAATGAAGTGATCGTGCATATAAAGTACACAAAAGTAGGTTGTGTGACTAAGATCAGTATACTCCTGAAGATGGATGAAAACCTGTCATTTTTTCAGCAAAGCAGTACACGTCATAAGTCTCATTGAGTTGTCTCATTCCATATGTCCTAACGCCGGGTACATTTTCTTTGTCACCCTGACAGTTGACACGAGGATCATGAATTGGATACCTATTTGAAGAGAAGATGAGACAATGTAGCAAAGGAAGGAATATAGTAATCAGATATTTCATTACCTCACTGTCTGATCAGAAAGCCAACCAGCATCACACTGGTGGTATCCATCATCAAAAGCTGCTTGGAGTTGTTCAGGTGAAGCCATGACTGCACTATTCTGGGTGCATGCATCTCTTGCCTTTTCAAAGGTCATCATGTAGCGACCAATAATGGGCCGGTAGTGGAAAACAATACCTGGAGTAACAACATTCTTTTATAATTTTCGAGAAAACCTTTGAGCATAACATTTTGCCTGTGCACTCTAGTGGATAGACAAGAAGATTGCTTCTTTTTTTTTGGACCGGAATTCATTCTGCTTGTGAAGAAACACATTCACAAATATGATCAGCCGCAGAAGAAAATACCAGCCTGATTGGAAAGATGAATATGATTTGATTTAATCGAGACCCGTTCACAGCACTACTTGAGCAAAAAAGTATTTGAATGTAGGAAGGGGCTTGTGATCACTTAGCTGGCTGTAAAATTCAGCAGTCTGGAAGCAACAAAAAAAAAAACACTGACAAAAATACTGTACACTTTGCCTACCTTGCACCTTCACACGGACATCATCATGATTGTCTTCAATACCATGTTGAACCTCGCAGCGGTAGACTCCAGAGTCACTGGACCTTAACTCAGATATCATGATATTAGCATCTGTTGGGGTCAAAGGGTAGCCCACCAGATGGACCCTGTCCAGGTAGCTCTCGCTGATACGCACTTCTCCCTCCAAAGCAACTAAAATTGTTGAGACCTTGTCTTTGGTAATGAAGCTCCATTTGATGCGACGAGAAAGTGGAGCGATATTGGGCGCTCCAGGGTCTATAATAGTGTGGTCCTATATTAAAAAGAGAAAAATCCATCTCTTTGATTACAAGAATGCATCAAACACAGGTGTGTTATAGATTTTAATTCCAGTGATAAATAAAATAATAAGAATATATACCTATGGGTTGAGTGTCTGAACAACATGAACATGCTTTTGGGACTGGTTAGTCATCCAATAAGTTAAAACTACTTGCCTTGTGAGTCATTGTGTCAAGTATAGTACATACACGCAACTCTACCTAATAATGTGAAGCAAAACTGTAGGACATAATTTATGAAACAGCCTAATAGGCCCTATCATTGTGCTGAGCGCAAGTCTAGTGCAAAGCGCGGTCTAACTGTGCACATGGGTGGAATTTTATTTGTTTTGGTATTTTGGTAGACTGCACATGTAGAAATGGTCATAATGAAGCACCAAATTTGCAAATGCGCTGAGAGCTGTGGCAGGTCCAGTGAGACGTAGCGCCTCCACCAAATTTACAAGCAGGCTGAACTGACCATTGCCTTGGCATGAAAATTATGATGCGCCTATTTTTACCCAGAGCATAGACAACTTTCTGTTACCAAATTGCCGGATGAGTTGGGGGAGAGGCAATTCCATGTGCCGAAATGCCCAGGGAGGTGCAACACAGCCCAAACACTAGACTGGACTTGCACTGGCCCAAAAATGAAGTTATGCTTGTTTTTATGCAGTGCGCATGTCACCGCTCTACCAAATGTTTTCTTTACGGTTTATCATTTAAGGAAAATAATTTGGGAAAAGGGAGATCATTTTTCATTTACTGTTCAGTCATGCTAAACTTAACTCAAAAATACACACACACACACACACACACACACACACACACACACACACGCACGCACGCACGCACGCACACACACACGCACACACACGCACACACACACACACACACACACACACACACGCACACACACACGCACGCACGCACGCACGCACACACACACACACACACACACACACACACACACACACACCTCAAAGTGGCATGGAAGTATTAATGTGCCTCCAAGTAATGGCCGTTGGGGGCTTTGTAGAGGTATGTTCACATTCAGCACATCTGCTGGATCTGTTTCAGGGAGCCACATACAACATAGTATCGGAATTACACTACACAAATAAATGAATTGAAAGTTTCTGAAATGCAGGAGCTTTTCTTACCAAGGAAAGAGCTGTCATCATACATGTAATCAAATGATCCTGAGATTACATTTAGACAAGCACAAAGATGAATAACCCACTTGATCATATCTGAAATAGGAGAAAATGTTTGAATTCAATGTGACATCTGCACACAAAACACAAAAATTGGCTTCATTTGTTATATATCGTGAAGTAGTGCTGTTACCCATCCTTTATTGAGCAAATGCATCATGTCACCAGCGATTTCTGTTTCTACTTTGTCAGTCTTGTTGTTCTTTACATATTTTTGTTAAGATTTTATTTGTGTCTACGTTTGTGGGATCCCATCACTATACAGTTCGTCCACGAACTGTTACACTACTTTGGTGCCAGACCCACACAAGTCCAAACATTTTGCCAATCATGAATCTTTTACACCAGAGGTTCTCAACTGTTGTTTGGACCCACATTTGACTCTTATTGAAAATTCATGACCCACTTTTGTAGAGCAATAAAGACCATGTTTTGTTTAAAAAAAATAGCTTCTGAAAACACATAATATATTTGATTTGAAGCAGAGAGAGTGTGTGCGTGTGTGTGTGTGTGTGTGTGTGTGTGTGTGTGTGTGTGTGTGTGTGTGTGTGTGTGTGTGTGTGTGTGTGTGTGTGTGTGTGTGTATTGGGGCAAATATTCAGGCTGCTCTCTGTCGTGGCCAAACTGTCAAACACAGGTTAAATTCCAATGACGGTAAAGCATGAGTAGCCAGGTAATAAAATGCACAATGCAATGAAAAAAAAAAAAAAATCAGTAAAATATTTTTCTTCCTAACAAGCTTGCTGCACAGAAATGGGAAGAAAATGAAGAGCTTTTGAACCATTTTTAATTGTGAATTTGAAAAGAACAAATTGTCGGATTTTAGCCTTCTGTATGTTAATTTGCAAGGTTGTCCTTTGGTCTCCATGAAAAATCTTTTTATCAAATGTATAATTTAACACAACTGGCTTTCTTCAATTCTGTATATGTTCAGGTTGAAACTGAAAATTCCATGTTGGTACATGATGTGACCTGTATGTCACCCCAGCGTTTTGTATTGAAGTGCTTCTGTTTGAGCTGGAGTCAGATACAGAGGGCCTTTCAGAAAACATGTTTCAAACCTGGAGGGAGTGACTGTCCAGGACTGAGATGTGGCCTTTGGTCTAATTGACACTTCATTGACTACTGACTTGTGTGTGAGCAGCAATGGTGGCACACTTCACACAGGCCTCATTCATATTCTGGGGCGAGGTCCACTCCCAGAGAGCCTGGGCCCATAAGAACAGATTTGTTCTTCTTGAAGTCTACATTATTGCAACTTTGATGACATCAGGACTTATGTAAACAAAGTCGGTCCTTTCCCTCCGTTTCCATCACTGCGGACATTCAGGCAAGAGACTTGAAAAAGCATAAGACATGTTGGGAGGAGTTGTTGGCCACAGATGGAGTCATGATGAGGCTTTGATGCACTTGTGCTCATGTGACCACACGTGCTATAGCATTCAGCGGGGCTGTCTACATTACAAGTTGTTTTCAATTTACCTCTATTAATAATCGTTAGCGTGACTGGAAATTAAACAATGAAAATACTTGTACATGTATAAGCAATATAAAGAATGGTGTACAACACAGTACTGTACAGTATTCACTTAATCACCCATCATTGAAATATGTACAGTACATGTTTTAAAATGCATTTTTGCCTCGGATTCATCTGATGTTCAGGTAACGTATGGAATGTTTTTGTACACCAGTTTGGATTTTATTGTACTGTTGCAAAAATATTTGATTAAGATATACAGATTTCCTGTCTTTATTCATCCTGTGAGGGATGCCAAGTGTCTACTTGTTTTCCCACGCTTGATGAGACACAAGAAAGATACTTTGTATTCAGGTGCAAAATCATAACAATGACATATAATTTTTTAACCATAAAAGTAAACTGAATTTGTCCGATAGTCCTTTTCATTGTATCCACATTTCTCCATAAAACAGTATAACAAGCACACCATGTGAAGAAGACAAGTTACACACCTGTTGAAGAACGTTTTCAGCTCTAAGTCAGACTTTTCTTTCGTGCTGTGTCTTTGCCTCAGGTAGTACTCTGGGTTGCAGCTTTGTTAGTAAGAATATCCCTGTTAATAGCAGAAAATCCAAGGTACTTGACTGCGTGCAGAGGACAGAGAAACGGTGGGTGTCAAACCTCAGAGGGAGCCACAGTCAACCAGGTACTTATACAGAAATTCCAGGAGACAGTTGCTGCTTTCAAAATAAAAGCAGACTGCTGTTGGGTTTGTCAGAGACTGCCCAGGAAAGGGACTCAAAATAGGGGCTTGCTCATCCAAAGAAGCATGACATCCTGTTGAAATTCGGCGCATATGATGTTCTTTGATTAAGTTCAAGTACAACCAAAGGGGATGACAAAATGAAGATGAAGCTTTTTATTTAGTTTATTCGTTTAATTACCAGGCATTATTAAGGTAACATTTGAGGTTATACTATTTCACCTTAATTAGTTTGTAACATTCAAGCATTCAATATAAAGAGCTTCAACATACTGGTGTATTAACCATTATAGAAGATTTTCAATAATTACGGGTTAAGCTGTGGCATAAATATTACACTGGGTAGTGGTCTGCTTAATTTGCTAAGCACTTTATATTGTTTTATTTGGGTTAATGAAAATCCAAAATGTTTCATTTTAAACAATTTGGTTACTTTTTTCCCCCAATATTTCTGTCTGTGTTAGGATTTTTGTTAGTATATTACAATTGCGGCAGCACGGTGAATGACATGGTTAGCATGTCCGCCTCACAGTGCAGAGGTGCAGGGTTTAATTGCGGCTCTGGCCTTCCTCTATAGAGTTTGTATTTTCTCCCCATGCCTACATGGGTTTTCTCCGTGTACTCTGGATTCCTCCCACATCCCAAAAACATACATGGTAACCAAACACTCTAAATTGTCCCTATGTGTGATTGTTGTCTGTCTACAGGTATATGTGTCCTGCGATTGGCTGGCAACCAGTTCAGGGTGTACCCCGCCTACCGACCAAGACAGTGAGGATAGGCTTCAGCATGCCCCCAACCGTCGTGAAAATAAGTGACTCGGATAATAGATGGATGTTACAATTGTAACATCGCGATTATAGGGTTTGTTAGTAAGATATGGCAACCCCAGAATTGCTGATTTTGATATTTTGTCATTATAATGGGATGTAATGAGGAAACGTGTTTTGTTTTGGGGTTTTTTTTTTTCACTTACTTGCATTGAAATGGCCATTATGTTGCTTGTGTTCCAGGTAAATATCGGGGTATAGTAAAGAAAGTTTAAAGAGGGGTGCTGCATCACTACTGAAAAATAAAATATTGGTCTTCACTTTTGTGAGGTCCAGAAATTTAAACTGAATGCTGCATCCTCAACTTGAACAAGACACCTTTTCACTTTTCACTTAACATTGAAGTTACTGACAAAATGTTAACATTTTACATACATTGAAATTAGAATACCTTATTCATTCACAAAAATATATGTATTTTAAAACAGGCAGCACATATGAGTTATTTCCACATTTAGGAATTATAGGTCTACTAAATGTCTGAGTGTATTCTACCCCTTCCCTAGTTTCTCTCACTCTCCTGACAAAAAAAAAATGACACAATGCTGCTCTTTCAGAAGTGTGCAAGTAGATATTCACTCTGGAGTTGACTTTGGGTGTAGCACAATGATAATAATGCTCTCATTCTACAAATAACATAATACACACATTCATCCGTCATGTTACTATGTTCCACATATCCATTTTACCTCTGTAGTTATCGTCAAAATGGATGCCCTTCATAAGAAAACAGGGGTAGTACATTACTGAAATATTTTGAATTGGTAAATTTGGTCAAGTTCAAATACCAGCTCTGTCATTTTTGTGTGGAGTTTATATGTTCTTCCTAGGTTTTTAACCCCTTGTAAAACTGCTGTGGATCCTTAAACTCACTTTTATTTTGTGTGTGTTGCCTTGTTTTTTGTATTTTGTTTGTTGTAGTCTATAATGAATGGTTTCTGCATTCTCTCTTTACCAGAACTGAGAGAGGGCAGTAGCATAAAATAAGGAACAAGCACCCCATAACCCTGTATTTGTACTTTGTGGATATGTTTTTGTAGGATTATATCAGGCTGTATTATATTTGCATTCCATGAATTCACTCTAACAATTTTATTGATCTCCAGTTACGCAAATCATTCAAGAAAGAGAAAACAAACTTTTATGTCCCGTAATAAGCCGGATAGGGAAGGATCCCACAAACAGAGACAGGGACAAGATGTTTGCACAAAAAGGTTTATTAAAAAAAAAAAAAAAAACACCCCCCCCTCCCTCCAAAAAAACAAAAAACAAAAACGCAAGACCAGCAGAGTACAACAAATTACTGTATGCTGGTTCCAATAGCAGGAAAAACGAGGAAAACAAAACAAAAACGCTTGCAAAAGGCAAGGACAAATGGAAATGGAAATTGCTTGTCATGAAAAGACAAGAAAACCCAAAACGTGTATCATAAAAAAAACGAGGCTTTGCACAACAAAAGACTACCTACTATGAACTGTGCAAAAACATGTCAAAACAAATAAGTGGCAAAAACAAGGAAACGTCTACAGAAGTCAACATTTGGAGACAGCGTCATCAGCAAGTTAAATTCGTGTTCTATTCACTTCTAAAGCCTTGGTGCTGTTTTGAGTCTCAGCTGACTGAGCGAAAAGGTTGCCATTCATGTATGACTTGTCACTGACTCAATCGGTGGCCAGTTACCAACAGGATATTCTCATTTGTACATTACCAATAAGAACGCTAGAGGCCGCAAAAGCCCTTCTGTGTTAGTCTCCGGTGAATCTTGTCTCTTTTCGTCGGCGTAGATTGGCTACTGTGTTTTTTGTGGAACGCCTTCTTGATTTTCTTCTCCGGTCCTATTGGTTAATTTAAACGTTGTTTTATGTCCTTCGGCAGGAAAAAAAGTAAGATAGGTTTCACATGCAAAGTGTCAACGCAGGAAACGACTTTATCGCATGACGGTCGAGTCTTATTGTAAGTTTTTCATTTTTTTCCATTGAATACTATGACGGAATTATCGTTGACACGCCGACAATGACGCGCTTTATTATCACAAGTCACGGTTGCTTATAATGTCTCCTTCAGATGCAAAAAATAGCTTTGTGAAATGTTTACATTCCCGACCCTGCCGAATGCTATGATATGCTAACTTAAGCGTTGCCCTACAATATTAATTTCGACAGCGATAGGGCTTGCCTTTTAAAACGACTGCCGAGAGTGAGGTCGGTTGCTATATTATGATGACTATTGCCTTTTAAGGTCCAAACGAATTACTGACATGCCTCACACATCGATGAAGTCATGTACAACGTAGCCTACCTGTAATTATCAACGAGACGTCACAACCGCGGCGACGTTAGCAGTTGTCATCCTGTCTCGTCCATCAAGGTGACACCTTCAGTATTCAATGCAACTAAGTCGATGATATTTTTGCCGTTTTGATATGATATTGCATCTGACACTTGGCATTCCTTAAAAAACAGAATCCAATTGCAGATCAACACAGGTAGAATCTGTCAGAACATGTAGTTTGCGTACAACAGCCTAATATGATTCATTCACGATTGAGAATATAACATGATCGTAATGGATTCCACTAAGTGCGCTGTTTTCCAAATGCGCCAGGCTTGTTATGTAAAGCTAAGGGTGGCCTCTGCACAGCAATCTTAGAAAGCATTGTCATTTTGTCACTATTCTGTGGAATTTAAAACTCATCTGAGAAAAAGTCAACGAGAAAGGATTTTAGTCCGGTTTGGTATGTGGTGACTTCCCAAAAAAAACAATTGTCTTATAAAATTAGGTTAAAACGGAAAGTATATGTTTATATTACACCTACTATTATTGCAGTTGTATTATTATTTACATTATTATTGTTTTTCTATCTGTGCTAGTAGCATATGGTGGCAGGTATAAGAGAATGAATACTCTTCAATTGTATGGCAAAAAGTACAACAAACCTGTGTAATTACCTACTGATGTTCATCCAATAGAATAAGTCATGGCACCCTGCAAATACATCATTTTCATATCCAACTATACACACCCAGATTTCACACTAAGTGCATTTGTGACAAAATTGAGATAAGAGCATTATTTCAGTCTGCATGCTTTCCTGTTATTTTGTTGAGTAATTTATTTACCCTAAGGTTTTTCTTTTTAAAATAGGTGCCTCGGCTCCACATATTGGAAAACACTGATCTAATCATTACCCTCCTTAATAACAACTCGAGTTATTACGAAACAAGTTTTGTATGATGTAGACATAGTAGACAAAAATGTGTCATAATTCATATTCAATAGGGATTGAGGAGTGACTATTGTGTGTGACATCTTCATCCCTTCATTCATGGGACGTTAGAAAACACAGTTCTCATCTTTTTGACTGTAAACGACTCCACAATTTGCTTGAACTGCAGTCTTTCAGCTTTAATTTGAGGGTGTTTTCATCCAATTCAGCGTTTGCCATTGAAGTTATGACAGTTCATGTATGACTCCTGGATTTTAGCGATGGGGGGGCCAACGAGTAGCATGCTAGCATCGCATATCCTCAGGTTAAGCCAAGTTTCCATGATAATCAATACACCTTGGTCTTTAACATAGCAATTCCCAGCGAGTTGTAGTTTGTTTTATGTACCAGGGGTTTGAGCTGCACAATATATTGAAAAAAATATTGTCATCCCGATAATAATGGCCTGTATGTATGTATGGCCGATTATGTAAAAAATAATAATCATGATTATTTTTATTGAGATTAAAATCACAGTTCAGAAAAAGATTATAAATTGGTTTCAAAACATAGTATGTCCTCAACTATTTAAAACCACTACTCAAAACTGTAATCATGAACTCATTCTGATTCATCCCTGCATGTTGAACAGTTCATTCTTGGCCCCTCTAGTCTTCATGTCAAGTACAAAATGACCTTGTAATTGTGTGAAATTCCATCCTCTTGCCTTTTTTTCATTCTAAATAGGGCTGTCCCGATTTTGATCACATAATCAGAATTCGGGTCTATATTCAGCTGATTGAGGACTTGGGCAAATATATCTAACTTTTTTTCATTTTGTGAAATTTCAGAGGTCGCAAAGTAACCAAATAATCCAAAGATTAAAAATATATTTTCAAATGGAGCAGACAGATCTTAATTTTACATTAGACAATATTACATGTTGTAAGACAAGAATTACCTCTAAAATAGCCTTAGTCTTCCTTGCCTTTTATAAAGCTGCTTCACAGAACAACATGAGTTGAGAGAGCGACAGGCAGGTTCCCAATTTTGACATGTCCAAAGGACATAACTTTAAATAGAAGTTTGACGAGTGTAAATTATTTGTTGACAAGGAAACTCGTTCCCCACTGGTTGCGTTTAATGAGTTCCTAAATCAGTAGTGTCATTTGAGAGAAGTCATACACGTACCCATCAACTGCGTAGCTGCGTGGACTCTTCTTTTTAGCCTACACATGTCAATAAATAATCATGTAAATGTATTGTTGACTAGGGATGTTCAGATCAAGGTTTTTAGCTGTCGATAATGATACAACTCATCAATCATCTGTTGGCCGATATCGATTCCGATCACGAGGATTCTGTGAAAAATTTCCGGTTTTAGAACTGCGACTAGATCTTTCTTAAATACTTTCTATTAATTTCTATCCCTTTATTATTCAAAAACAATGACATTGCTTCAAGTAGACACTGCAGAAAATGTGCAGCCAACTTATGATTCAGTGACTCGGTTGGTCTGTAACATGTCAGCAAACGGGGGAATTTTTTTTTTTTCACCAAGGAAAAGCAGCATACGGATTAAATATAAGATAATCACTACTCACGTTAACATAGAAAATCAGGCAATGTAAATAAAGTGGCAAAAACACACTATGAACTCATGACATTTACATTCCCGTGACTTTTCAGAAAGTTACAGGTCATTGCTGTCTTGGTGTTTTTAAAACAAAAAACTTTTGCCTTCAAGCTTGTTGGTGCTGATTTTTTTAGTGCTTCTGCCGTGTTCTTTTCATTGGCTACTCTCACATAGTGACGAGATCTTGTGTGATGCGAGAAGTCACATGAAATCATCGGAAAAAGATGGATAAAAAGGATCGATTTATGGTTTTATGAATCAGTATCACACTATAAAAAGGAAAATCTCTTCTTTTTTTTTCCCCGCAACCCAGCTCAACAACAGATTGAGAGTTGTGAGTCTTGAAGACTATGACGTACCTCTTTCCTATTTTTGAAAAACATTCCTGCTTCTATTCGAGCTCGCATACTCGCTTCAGAAAACTGCCAATGTGACTTCCCAAATTATTAAGATGTATTGCTCTGTTTTCCTTGTAGAACTGTCAGCCTTTCATCATCATGGAAGAAAGAGAGATCCAGAGATAACTCCCAATGGGTTTCAAGTCCCAAGCAAGTCAATTACAATCTTGGTCAACTGAATGAAGAATGACAACTTTGACTGACAGCTTTGTTGCAAAGGACTATTGAGACCTATTGTTACACACCGCTTCCCACATTTGAACGTGAATGTTTGAGGCCTGTTTTTCTTTTCGACATCCCTCCTCACCAACCCTGCTGTCCAGCTCAGGCAGAGTGGAACCCTTTGTGTCCTCTGGCCTCGTGCCCTTCCATCGGCGGCCTGCTCCGGTGGTGCGGTGGTGTACGATGGCGCGGTGGGACGCTGTGGGCTGCCGCGGGAGACTGTGATGTCCGAGCCCAACAGCCCGGGCGAGAGCCGGTGTGGCGCTCCCAGATTCTTCGTGGGCTGCGAAGACGATGAGAGCGAGGTCTTGGAGGATAGCATAAGAACAGACATGGAACTATATGAGGATGACGAAGACACAGACTCTGTAAGGACCTTCACACAAACTCTTGAATTAAGTAAAATATTATTCGATTACATTTAGAAAGTAAGCGTTTTATTGGCAAGTTATGTCGGAAAAGCAAATCTATTTCTACCCACTTAATCTTCTCACTGGAATTGGTGATCTTGTTTCAATGATGTGCCATGAAAATTACAATAGTATGAAGAGGGTTTTCCAGATTTAAATGTATTATGCAGTAGATATACTGTCTACTCAATGAGATCTTCTAGGTATATTAATAATTAGTAATGCACCAGAACCAAAAACTGGTGGGATATTATACGTGTAAACAGCAGCACACCAGAACCAAAAAGTTTGTTAAAATCCCCCCCCCCCCCTCTTTTTGTCACGCTTCAGCCACCTGAGCAACAGATTGTTGTGGGAATATGCTGCATGATGAAGAAGTCAAAGTCCAAGCCAATGACCCAGATTCTGGAGAGGCTATGCAGGTTTGAGTACATCACCGTGGTCATCTTTCCAGAGGACGTCATTCTCAATGAGCCTGTGGAAAACTGGCCCCTGTGTGATTGCCTCATCTCCTTCCACTCCAAAGGTGCGTCTTCAACAAGGTCAAGGTCAAATACATATACAGTTCGACACATAAACGAGAACAAACCTGTCTTGAATTACCATCGGCGGCAGCTGTGCAGGGTGGTGGCACAGCAAAACGGTGTGGCTGCCTTATTTATTCAGATACGTGATTGTAAATCATCTCATGCTCAAATAATTACTTAGCATTGTGGAGCACGCAGAGAAGTGTCTTGCTGCTAGATCATATAGACCAGCTGATCTTACTAAAAAAAAAAAAAAAAAAAAAAAAAAAGCATGCAAGTCTTTGGCAAAATTGTTTACTGTTACATACAATTGTTACAGTGAAACTCCTCTAGAACGAAACCTACATGGGCGAAAATACCCCCTCATGTGAAAAAATCTTCATGCATTAACACAATTCCCATTCTCCTGCCCCCCATACGACGAAAACCCCCCTGTTGCGTTATACGAAATCATTTTCTCTGCTCCAGCCTCACGAAGACATTCACTACAATGAAGTCTTATCCAACAGCGACCTCTACTGCTTCGTTCGAAAAAAGGCAACAGCAACCACCACACTGGTTTACAGAGTGAACCATGTTTATTTCTGTCACAGCTGCGAGTTTCCTTGACATCAAAAGGTCCGTTTTGTAGCCATTTTAGCAATGCAACGTCCATCCTCGTCTGAATCTAACAATAACAAATACTTCCTGGCATGCAATTAACTTTTACACCAGCCACGGGACGCTTCGTAGTCCTCGATGGCCATAGTTAGCTCTCGAAGGCTAAAAACCTTACGCTAACTGGAGCGCTAATGAGAGAGAAGCGCTCCAGTTAGCTAAGGTTTTTAGTCTTCGAGAGCTAACTATGGCCATCGAGGACTACGAAGCGCCCCGTGGCTGGCTTAAAAGTTCATTGCATGTCAGGAAGTATTTGTTATTGTTAGATTCAGACGAGGATGGACGTTGCATTGCTAAAATGGCTACAAAACGGACCTTTTGATGTCAAGCAGCTAAGACAAGAAGAGCTCTGATGCTGGAAGAGAGGGTAAAAGTGATCAAAATGAAAGACGGAGGAAGCAAAATAAAAGACATTATCCAAGAAATTGATGTAAGTGAAAGTGAATGCTGATCGTAAATTTCGCAATTTCTTTCCCTTTTTTTCTTTCTACACTGACAATATGAAGTGTCAAATAAGTGTGTGCTCATACTTATGTACTATTGGAATAAAAATAGAGTACACAAACGTTTGTGTGTGCGTGTACACATACGTTTGTGTGTGTGTGTGTGTGTGTGCTTACATCTGAGATCAAATTTGCTACAGTGAAAAACCCCCTGTTGTGAAAAATGTCTTGCTGCAAACATGATTTCGTTGTAGAGGAGTTTCACTGTATTTAAATGGAACAGTCACAGCAGAAGGTTAATTCAGTGTGAACATATGCAATTTTAATACCTGTGTGTATTTTTTTGTTCCACAAAAAGAAAATTTCGACTATTGTTCCGGGATATGAAGCAGTTTAACAAAAGGGCTTGTTTATATTGACATTTTAAAGCATAAAAAGAACCATCTTATTCTGATGAGGTACAGTAAATTAGCTTATTTATATGTACACTGTCAGGAAGAAAAGGTCAAGCTAATCTCAGCAGCAATTGTTCATGCTATACATGACAATAAGCCGTCAACCTGGTAAGGCAGCCAATTTCAAAATAAACCTTATCTGGCAAATTTTATATATATATATAAAAAAACAAAGTTCTTCTACAAATTACATCTGGAGAATGTCCTAGGTGATAATGTACATATTAGGACCTGTATATTCTCCGCTACGACCAGTATAGAGGCATTTTTTTAAACATATTTGTGTGGCCCAGTACCAAGTAGCTCGTAGAGCAGTGGTTAGGGACCACTAATTTAGAAAGGCTGTGCCATACAAATAGCCTGCCACTGACTCGTTAGACTTCCGGAAACTGCATCTCACGATGGTAGTGACCCCTGCCTTAAACGTATACTCTATGTACTTAAGCCAGGGGTGGGCAAACTTTTTAGCTCGGGGGCCACATTGATTTCTAAATTTGACAGGTGGGCCGGGTCAGCACAAGATATGGTACATATAAAAAAACGTATATGTTGACAGTCCATACCAAACATCAACAGAACAAAAGCATTCAAGTATTACCATACTTTTTTCATGAGAACAGTGAGATAACGTATATGTCCTGTATGAACGTCCAAGTACGGTATGTTAACAACA